TTTCCCTAAATTATCTTGACCTTACAATCACCGCGCGTTCTTACGACTTGCGACTGCCACGTTTCACTCTGTTATACTTACATATTTAAATAAGGAACTGTTGTTACATACTTGGTGAAAGTATTGACAGTCACTTTAATCGACGTCACGGTGATGTAACGTGACATCGCGATATCACTCGACGTGCTCTCCGGCAAGAAGGCATGGATCAATGCATGATGGATATGAAAAATGCCCTGCACAATCGTTGTGCGAAAACTGCTGCATATTAACCTTTGTTGTATACACGCGTGTACGCTGTACGCACGTGTACCGTACCAAGCCGTGCGATTGATACCAATAAGACCTAGCCGTACCTGAGTACCAAACGCACGTGTAGTGTAGCTGGAGACGCTGGAGTGCGTGGACGTTTGCGTTCGCTTCGTACAATTTGTGTTCATTTTCGTTTCCGTGGAAATAACGTTCATGACTCTGGACTTTTCTTTGGACTAATGGAACTTTCAGACTAGCATGAACTTTCAGAATTCCGGTGGATATTAAAGTAGGAGTGCAATTGCGTTTGCAACTGTCAGTATTGTTGTTGGGATAACCTGAAACATGGTCCGCTTTAAAAACAGGTGACTCGTTAAACTCATAGTTGAACTTACTACTGAATTGTCAAATTTCCAACTTGGCTTATAACCGTATTCTGTTATTACATTTGCTTAGATACATTGTTTTCACAATAAAGCCACATAACGACAGTGATGACAAGCAGGCGGCATGGAAGAATACGCATGTGTCTAATGCAATTAAATTGAAGGTGCAACAACTGTATGGAGATGTTGGAGTTGCAGCGATAAAGGACGGCTTCGACGGTAATTTAGTGTTGGATATTAGAGAAAAATTGGTAATTTTAGAGCGGAATCCATAGACGTTGCTTAAGATTCGAGATAGTCTTAAGCTAGTACATGAATCAATCAGAGAGCATATCTTAATGCCCGTATTTTTAGTCAGATGTACTTAAGACTTCCTTAAATTTATCTTTAGTTCAATATCTAGTCAATGAAGTAATTCGTAGAGCATCTGAAGATAAATTTAAGAAAGCCTTAAAAGTTAAATATAAGGCCTGACTATGGCCGGTATTCATAGTCGGATCTTATATTCAAGACCGTCTTAGGCCGGTATTCATAGTCGAATCTTATTTCAAGACCATCTTAAGTAATGTCTTAAAACGCTAATGCAGTCATCTGGTTGGTTCGTGACTTCTTAAGACCGTACTTAAGACAGTCTTAAGACTGTGAATACTGGTCTTAAGTACGATCTTAAGAAGTCACGAACTAATCAGAAGACTGCGTCTTAAGACATTATTTAAGATGGTCTTGAAATAAGACTCGACTATGAATACCGGCCTTAATCTATTGGAAAATTACATAATAACTCTCTCTAAACTCTAAATCTTAAAAAAAATTTTTCTTGATCTATGATATATTTCCACATGACTTAGTGAAATACTTTTGTTATTTAACATATAAATTTGGACAATCTGAAATTTTACTTAAGATTAAGAACAGACTATGATCTATTTTTAAGCCTAAATACAAATTTGTTTTTTTTGCTGCAGCAAAATACTGCAACATACAAACAAAAATAGCAATAATAAGACTGAGGCATGGACCTCATAAATATGCATTACATGCTATTCCGCTGATAAACGACGTAGGTGGACGATTAGTCAAAACGAAGATTCTGTATATAGGAGCGACTCTGAAACACTGTTTCCTCTTTATCAGAGTAAGATTTGCAACATTCATCTATTTCACTTGTGCCTAGTTGAGAAAGAAAAATATATTTTCGTTCCTCTATTTCTTTTAGAAACATCAAGAAAAGAAGCTGGAACAGTTATGGTCGAAATTGCCAACAGAAGCCGAGAAAAAACGGATGGAGACTTTTCTGATGACTCTGACCCCCGCTATGAAGGACTTCAAGTAAAAATCATCGTTGTAAATAATGAATTGTTTTTGTTTTAAGTTTATAAATATAAATAAAGAGTTTTAATATATTTCATGAATTAAATATACATTAATATCTGATCACAAAGCCATTTCATGGAAATCTCTATATCTTTCCACAAAGAAATATAAGCGATGTCTCTCTTCTCTATTTTTGTTTTTAATTTTGCTTCGAAGTTTCATTTAGAGTTTAGTGTCCATTTTTATCAATGTACAACTTTAATCTTCATTCAACTTATTTTTGTAATTCTTAGATCCTATCAATGTAAGATTAACTTTAATTTTTCACTTTAACTTACTCTTTATCTTTTTGACTTTTTCTCATTCTCATAATTAAAAAAACATAGACAAAGAGTAAATTTATCCGAGATTAAAGTTAATATTTTACATTGGTGAAATCAGCAATAAAGAATTAAAAGAATTAAAAAAAGAAAGATGATAAGTTGAACGAAGATTAGAATTAAGAAAAGCTGAAGAGTTAATTGAATCGAAATGTAAAAAAAGAAAATTAAACTTTGGTAGAGACGGGCATAAAGTTTTTCGAGACAATCTCTCATACAATGCCGTTATCTGCAGAAGATATCTTTAGCGATCGGACCACAAGGACCGTTGCCACCTCTCGCCAGTTGTCGCTGTTCGTTGCAAGAGATCTCCCTTCTCGCCCGCCATCACCGTAATGTATCCCGCCGTTATCCTGCCGTTTGTCGTGCACTCGTTCGGATCAGTTCAAATCGTCTCGGAGCGTTCTGGAGTGTTCGCTAACGGCAACGAGACGACTCCAGAGCTACTCCGCGAACCGTTGTGAACCTAGAAACTCGTATACCTGCAATTCGCAATCGACAGAGAATCGAGAGGCGTGCATCGAAAGAGGAAAAGGGACTCCCGAGAAAAAACTGCGGATGTTGATGCGCGGGACCGTTCTCGCCCCCCGCAGTCACTATATTTACATTGGACGGTCTTAACGGCAAGATAACAAGAGACTCCTCGGTATCGACCGCGTCTTCCGGAATCGTGATACTCTGTGTTCGATTGCACAGTTTCATCCGGGATAATCGTCGCCCCGGTACACACCGGCAAGTTCGAGGTAAGCGTTTCCTACTCCCCTCCCTCCCTATCGATCATTGTTGTTTAGACTCGCTCCTGCTCTCGGATCCACCCTTCTGTTATGAGCTTTGATCAACTTAGACTTGTAGGTGAAATCTCATTTCGAATATTGAGGTCAACATTCTGCGGGAAATTTTCACGATGTCTGGCAAAAATTACGACGTACACGCTGAGCATTAGCGCGGAAAAATATGGACGAGATACTCCGTTTATATTTACATGATCCTTGACATTCAACCCTTAATCACATCTCGATACATCTATATCTAAAAGATGGTCCTTGATATTCAATTTCTAACTGGATATTATGCTATGTTGAATCCTGAGGACTCCTGTCTTTAAACATGAAAGAAAAGAGTATTGAAAATAATCTCCATTCTATATTGTTGCTGCATTTTATTGTATTTTTAATTGTATTCAAGATAAAGTTTTATTCGTTTTCCTTGAAAATTAAATAATTGATCAAAATTTCAAAATAAGAGAGAAAAAAATATATTATGTATAATTAATATTAAAATGTATTTTAAAAATGATTATTGATGTTGAACCCTCAATTGTGGATATAATATGTGAAATCTTGGGATTCACACACACACACACACACACACACATTTTTAAATATTAAAAAAAGGAACTGAAAATAACTACACTGTATACATCAACTTGCTGCTGCAAGGCAGATGTCCCCAATAAACATCAACTAACAGTAACAACATCACTGTTATAATTTCATACTCAATAATATAACAGTTACATAGAACATGTTATACATACATTTAGACTGTTGAAAATTGTAATATTGATGTTACCGTTAGTTGATTTTTTCTGGTTCGATGAGAATTGAGGAGCTTATTTTTTTTTTGACAAACATTCAGAGGAAGAATAATTGTCATCACGGTAATATCTTTCGTGTAAATCTGAGGAAAGCTTTCATAAATCGCAGAATTGGTCTCAGCTTTCTCTTTCATCCTTAGTATGTGGCCGAGAACAAATTGCTTACAGATGTGTCTCTTGCTTTTTTCTTCTTTTTTTTTTGCTTAAGAAAGAAGAGCTTTTCCTCCAAAAGGAGGGAGATCTGTTCGACTTTCGAGTGCAGAAAGTGTAGTTAAAAACAGACTGTGTTTATAGTTATGTCACGTCATAGAGAGATCATATTTATAAAACAATAAAACGAATCATTAAATTGAATCGCATTGCAGAAAGACTCGGAAACGTATGTTTATCAAAGTAAGATTAACGAGATAAATTAAGGATAATGACTTAAATACACATGTACGACGATAATCGTCGTCGAACAAATATTATTATGACATGTGAATATTCTTAGAATAAGGAAACGCGTATTTTTCGCATAATTGTTTGTCTTTCTTGCTTATTCTTTTTTGCTTAACGATCTCAAGCAGTCGCCTGTACATTGTTTCGTTATTTCTCGCTTCTGATTTATATAAAAATTTCAGGAGTGAAAGTGAATCTCGTCTACAATTTGCAAAAGGAATATAAAAAATATCGTATCTAGAATGGACTGTATAAATTATGGACTCGATTCGTTCCTCGTGTACAATTCCTAAGCCGGTTCTTATCGATTCTTATCGATTCTTATTTCGAGATCGTTTTATGGCTGGTTTATGCTTCAGTCGTAATCTTAGTCTTGAAAATTGGTAATAAAGAATGCCATAAGATCGTTTATCCTTCCCCCCAGTCTTAACCATAATCTTAATCTTAATCTCAAGAAAGTTCCTATCTTTTAACTTTAAGTCCTTAAGATTAAGTCTTTAAGATTAGGACTAATATTAGATTCTAAGACTAAGATTAAGACCGAAGTACAAACCAGGCATTAAATAATGTCTTAAGATGCTACAGCTCTCTGATTAGTTCATAAAATCTTAAGATTGTACCTAAGATAGTCTTAAATATAAGAATCGACTGCGAATACTAGTCTAGTCTTTAACGCAATTCGTCTCGGCGCGGCGACGCGGGACGAATATTTTCAATGGTCACTACATGTCGACCGATGCAAAAGAAAACACTGAAAGTTTGCTTGTAATTTCCACCCTGCTCTCGCTGCGTTACGGAGAATTAATCGTCGAACAATAGCTCTCGATCTCGTTATCTTTCAAATGCATCATTCTTGTGAGAACGCAATTTAGTTAGAAAGCCGCCAGCTTATTTATCACTTTGACGTAGAGTCGTTTGCCAAAGCGAACGCAAGTCGCAAATGGGAAGAAAGGGCTTTCTACAATAAGTCATTACCCAAGTTTTAAGTCTTAAGCTATAAGAAATTTATCAATTACAGTCAAATGTGAGAAGAGTAATCGGCTATGATTGGTCAATTTCTTACAGTTTAAGATTTAAAGCTTTGATAATGGCTTATTGTAAAAAGCCCAAAAAGTTTGTTCTACAATAGGGTTGCAAGCTGTGAACCCTAAGAAATTGACCAATCACAGTCAAATTTGAGAAGAATAATCGACATGATTGGTCAATTTCTTACAGTTTAAGATTTAAAGCTTTGGTAATAGCTTATTGTAAAAAGCTCATAAAGCTTGTTCTACAACAGGCTTGCAAGTTGTGAGCCTTAAGAAATTGACCAATCACAGTCGATTATTTTTTTCATATTCAACTGTGATTGCTCAATTTCTTACAGCTTATGAATACTGACTTCCCTTGTGATTGTAGAATAGGATAATTGACGTAAAGCAACGTGGCTGGATGATCTTGACCGTACATCTAACGTCTGCAACGTGACGAGATGACGAGAGTACCACAAGTTCTCGCTTTATAATAAGTGGTTGAAAAAAAAAAGTCATGTCCCGACACGTAGGATGAAATTGTATCTTACTTTCGCGTCCGAAGGAAACTTCGCGGTCGCGCAGAATGATCTGAGGTGAGTCTCGGAGGAAAGCGCACGCGGGTGAGACGTTTTATGGCTGTTACGGTGATGCGATCGCGAGCTTCCGCTCGCCTATTAATTCGCTAATTAGCGCAAGTCCATACGCAGTGTCGAAGATCTCTTACGATAATTAGTTCGGTCAGTTAACGAGTGGTCTCAAAAACTTTCACGTACTTTTGCCGATACGCCCCCCACGACACGTATATGGTAATTTAATGTAATTTGATATGTTTTTACATGTTTTTTTTTTATTACAGTAATTATATATAAACTGGGACTCGCGAAGAACTCTGAGATTTTCTCTTTCTTTTTTAATCCTGTACATTACACGAAAAACAACTTTCATCGCTTAGTATATATGAATATTTTTTTATACCTATATTTTTTTATTTTAAATCCATCATTGCAAAAGTATTAAAGTAAGGCAGTTTTAGAAAGATTACATTTATTAAAATCTTTAATTACTGTATTAGGAAAAGAACAAGTCTACGTTGCTCAGATGTTTGACATACTAATGTTCGAAGAAGCGAGTCGCGTGCAGCATGTAGCGAATGTACTGGATAAGATTCGTTCGCATAAGCGAGCCTCGTGGAATGATTTTAGCGAACACAGACGATAAATATATCCACATAGCATGGACTCCGAGAAAGAGAAAGAGAAGGAACAGGGACTGAACTCGAGACTCCGAATCAAGTCTCTTGAGAGGGAAAGAAGGAATGGAATGTTTCTCTCACTTCTCTTTGCTTTCACAAGCCATGTTTCGATGATTTCTTTGACATGCTACACGAACAACAGTAACATTGCACACGTCAATTACCCGACAATCACCTCACATTAGTGTTTCCTGCATTCTACGACTGTTCCTTAATTCCTCCACTTTTATTACACCGCCAACGAAAAGTATAGCTTTTTGTGCTTATTTAAGATGTGTAAATTAAAATATTTATATATGAAAGAATGAATTCATATTTAAAAGAAAGTCTAAGAAATATTATTTTATTTGGAAATGTCTGTGAAAGTTTAAAAATGTGAGTGAGCATTTTTATAGAAGTAAATATT